CGTGGCCCCGTTGCAGCCCTTCGTGGCCCCCTCCCTGCCCTTCGTGGCCCCGTTGCAACCCTTCGTGGCCCCCTCGCTTTGTTTCGTGGCCCCATGTATGTATGCACTTCGTGGCCCCCGCTCGTTCGCGCCCGTGGTGGCCCCATGTGCATGCCCTTCGCGGCCCCGCTGTCGCCGTTCGTGGCCCCCTCGCTGCCCTTCGTGTCCCCGTTGCTGCCCTCAGTGGCCCCATCCTTACCTTCCGCGGCCCAACCTACGTATGCCCTTCGTGGCCCCCGCTCGTTCGCGCCCGTTGTAGCCCCATGTGCATGCCCTTCGTGGCCCTGCTGTCGCCGTTTGTGGCCCCCTCATTGTCCTACGTGGCCCAGGTGCTACCCTCATTGGCCCTATCGTTGCCTTCTGTGGCCCCGCATTATCTGCCCTTCGTGGCCCACGCTCGTTCGCGCTCTTCGTGGCCCCATACGCATTCCCTTCGTGTCCCCGCTGTCGCCCTTCGTGGCCTACTTCGTGTCCTTCGTGGCCCTGCTGTCGTTCTCTCTCGCTCTCGCTTTCGCTCGTCGTCGTCGCCATCGCCGTCGTTGCCGTCGTCGTCGACGTCGCCGTCGCCGTCGTTGCCGTCGTCGTCGACGTCGTCGTCGTCGTCGTCGTCGTGGTCGGTCCCCTGTGCGTCCCTCTTGGGGTCGGGTCGAGGGTCCGCGGCCGCACCGCCGGTCAGCGCTGCCGCTGGCCAGGCCGACGGTCCGCGGCCGCCCCGCCGCTTGCCGGGGCCGGGCCTGCAGGGAAGGAAGGTATACCACCAAAAGGGGGTTCGATCGAAGACGAAAAGGGCGGGTATCGAGGGTTTGGGAAATTCGCGTTATTCGACACTCGAGCAGATAAGGGCGAACAGTCTTAACATGATTGTTGTTGAACATTATTAATTCTAAAGAATAATTATTGTTGGGGCCCCTGGTGCACGGCCCCCCTGCGCCGCCTAGGCCGCAGCTACATTTTCATCATTTTCGTGAGGAAGCCTCAGGTAATTCGATGTGATCAAGATCCGGTTGTTTTGTTCCCCCCCGCTTTCCCTTGCAAAAAACACTATAAAATGACATTTCTTGTTCTAATATAATCAAATTTCAAGAATCCCTTGCAAAAAATAAGGTAAAGTGGACATTCGCGCGCGCAAGACGAAATCCTTCCAAAAGCTTAGTGTTCGGAGCGATTTCAACATAAAAACATCAAAAAACCAATGGTTTTTCAACAAAAAAATGTCAAAATCTCATCCCGCGCGCTCTTGCGGATTCGTAGGAAACCCAACACTTTTTAAACATTTCTGTCAAACGGGCTTTTGCGAGCAACTTTTTCGAACTTCTGCGACAACGGTTGCGCACCTGCCAGGGCCATCATCCCTGTCAAATAATACCATGCGGGACACATTCGTTTTTTCTTCGCGCGCGCACGCCGAAATCTCCAAAAACCATTGGGTTCTTAAGAATTTTAGCACCGCGCATCATAAAATCACACGAATCGCACCGTAGGTCCTCGAAAAACACCTGCACGACTTTTCAAAATTTCCACCCGCGCGCGCTGTCCGAATCCTAAAAAAAAACAATGGTTTTCCAACATTTATGTTACATGAGCTCGCGCGAGCTACTTTCGCACGCTCTTGCAACGGGGTTCGCGCGCCTGCCAGGGGCCACAATCCCTTGCGGTTGCGCCATAGGTTGCGCCCTCGGCCGCCGAGAATAAAACGTCCCCCTATTGGTTGCGCCATAGGTTGCGCCCTCGGCCGCCGAGAATAAAACGTCCCCCTACTGGTTGCGCCATAGGTTGCCCCAGGAGGCCTTCAAGAGGCCCCAAGAGCCCGCCGTGAGGACCCAATAAGCCCCCAACAGATGTTCTGTGGAAGGCTTAACAACTTCTGTGGGTTAACAAGGCTTAACAACTTCTGTGGGTGTACGAACGTAGGCTTAACAACTTCTGTGGGTGTGTACTCCACGCCAGTGTAGTAGCCACGGTCGTCCGCAGGCCACGAAGTGAAGTGTCCGAACGTCATAGGGCGGGAAGCTGGGTGTGGGTGGTGGCGAAGAGTCGTGTGGATATTTGGTAGAGCTTGCACTGCCCCCCCACAAAGTGGGGGTATTGGCTGGCGTCGCATGAAAACCCTGGCACTGGTGAGAACACTGAGCGTTCGGGTAAAGTGATTGTTGTTGTTGTTGTTGTTGCTGTTGTTGTTGCCGATGATGTTTGTTTCGATGCGTGGCGCTCCCCAGACCGCTCGAGCCCTGGCTCAGCAAGGTGGGCCCCTCATTCTGGGGCTCCCTCGCGGTCGGGATTCCGGGGCGCGATCCCGCGGATCCGTGGTCGCACGGATGCGTTCTGCGCGGGGCCACCCACGAGCAAAAACGTTTCGTGCCCGCGGGTTCGCGGTCCAGGGGCCCGGGCTCGCGAGGCCGCGGACATGGATACGTTTTTCGCCCACGAATGATTCGAGGAGTCCCGCATGGGGTCAGAGCGGGTGGTGTCGGAGGATCGCGCCGCATCGACGATGCATCGGCGTTGCTGCTCGGTGTGGAGTTAGATTTTTTTCCACGCCGACGTCGCCGATGATTCGTCAATGCATCGCCGATGTATCGGCGAGGTACCGGCGATGCGTCAGCGATGCGCTCGATCCCCCGACCCGATCTCATCGGACCCCATCTGGGAGGCCTCTGTTCGGGTCCGCGACCTCGCGTGCTGGGGCCTGGACTGCGACCTCGCGGACACGGCACGTGCTTGTTCGCGTAGGCTAGGCCACACGTGGAACGCAGCCGTGTGACCGCGGATCCGCAGGATCGCGCCCCGAAGCCCACACCGCGAGGGAACCCAGTGTGGACACGTTCGACGCTCGAGACTCGTCCCGAGGGGTCTGTCTCTCGTCGGAGGTCAGCAGGTCAAGCCAGGCCAGGTTTAAGTTGGGCATGTCCCTCTCTACAGGAATAATCTTTGAGAATTGAAAACAGTGGGTGCCCATGCCAAGAAACATCCAGCTTGCCTCCAGGTTGCCCTGGGTTTCTTGGGTTTTGATCGTCTTGCGACGGAAAGCGTGACGTCCCGCACAGATCCGTGGGCGTCCTGGGGTCTCAGGGTTGGGTTTCTTGCGGAGGGTCTCTTGTGGACTGGCCTCCACCGTACAGGCGGCCCGGAGTAGTAGGTCGACCCTGCCAGATCCAGGGTACCCTCGTGTCCCGTGTCTTGCGACCCGTGCCTCCTGCATTTCTGTGGCAACGTGGCCCTCGGAAGGGTCCTGTGCCCTCTCGCCCTCTCAGGAGGCCACGCCCGACCAGCAGGCCCCGGCCAGCAGACCCCGGCCAGCGGACCCGCAGGCCAGGCGATGGGCCCAGGCCGGCGACGGGCCCCCCCGGGGGTCGAGGCAAGGACGGGGCCCCGCGCCGCCCGCCCGCCCCGCGGCGGCGGGGCCCCCGGGCGTCTCGCACCGGCTGGAGGTGCTGCGGGAGACGCTGGCGGTGGCCCGCGAGCGGTTCGGGCACGCAGAGGAGGGCAAGGTTTGAGTCGGGCCTGTCCCTCTACAGGGGGGATGTTCAAACACCGTCCAAACGTAGTCGGGGACTATGTTTTGAGTATTTTTTTTTTGCCATTCTGGATTTTTGTTTGGAGTATTTTTCGATTCCTCGTCGAAAATCTCCCTGTAGGGGGACACGCCCGATTCCAGACAAGGTGGAGTCGACCCGCATAGGAAGGATGGGCGATTTTCCAAGGCTTCCCTCGCATGCTGGCCTCCTCGGTCCATCGTTGGCCACTTCCGCTGGCCGCGCCCCGCCCGAAAAACATGAACATGGCGTTCCAAGGCCCTTGCATCCTTATCGCGCATCTTTATGATACGGGTTGACTGCGGCAGGTTCGCGTCGTGTCGACCAGCGGCGACCGCGCCGCCGGCGTTCAAGTTTGAACGCCGCCGGCGACCCAGAATCGGTCGGTGTGTAGCGATCTGAGGCCGATCGTTCGAGGTTGAACGATCCCCGCGGTGTCAGAAACCAACGCCGAAGTGGGCAGGAAACGAACAACCTGCCGTACCGATACCGCCACCCTTGCCTCATTTTCGCATTGTTGAGCCCCTGACAGGCCGCCGTCGTCACGGCTGGATTCGCCTCGAGACTTTGGTCAGAACGCATCCTTGGAGAGGTGCGGGGAGTAGCTGTATCGGTACCTTTTGGGTTCCCCAGGCACGTGTTCTACTGCCCGGGTAACCACGATCTCTGGGTGCTCCACGGCGCACGCCCAAAACAAGGAGCGGTATCAGCACAGTGTGTGTTGGATGCGATGCTTGTTGTGAGGGTCTGCCTGGGGCTCTTCTGATTCACGGTTCTGTTCGACTCACCGGCCCACGAAGTCCTCGCGAACCTCCGACAGATATTGTATGCCCGGCCTTCCTGGCAGGAGGAGGAGGAGGAGAAGGAGGTCGCAAGAACGCCACATGTGCACACATCAGGTCTGGCCATTGCAAAAAGGAGGAGGAGGAGGAGGAGGAGGAGGAGGAGGAGGAGGAGGACTGATTTTTCCTACAGGTCCGCGCGGCTGTTCCTGGGTCGGCGCCGCGGATTGTCTGTGCTCGGGCTTCTGAGGGCCTTTGTGGCACGGCTAGAACGGTCCAGAAAACCTGGGAGGACGGGTCCCTTCTGTTTCTCGGGCTTCCTGGGGGGGGGACCTCGTGGCCTCGCAGCTCGAACACAGTGAACTTGGGTTGACCCCAGGAGGCGCTTGGGGACGGTTTTCAGCGGATTCCTGCTCGGGATCAGGACGAGGAGGCAGGCCAGGCAGGCCTAGCATGAATACACATCGTGCCGGGGCCTTGTGCAACACTCTCAGAGCGTTCCGGAGCGCTCTGAAACGGCCTCGGCGCCTTCCCAACGCGTCAGGTCCGAGAGATTCCCGATCTTCGTCCGGCGAGGCCTCGGGCTGCCTTCTCGGCAGGACCGCCCCCCTTCGCCCCCTTCGCCCCTGCCCCCCCGGCGCGCCAGGTGCACCGGGACGACGGCTGCGAGGACTCCCGTGGGGGAAGGGCAGACATCGGACGGCGTGGCTCCACAGCGAGGGGCGCCTGTTGCAGGGCGGCCGGGGCGGGGCGCTGCCAGCCCCCCTCCACGACGACGTGCGGCCGTGCCGTGCTGAGTCTTTTGTTCCCGGGGCAGGGGTCGAGACGTCCAGGGTCTCACGCCCTGAGAGAACGGGCCGTCGGATGTCTGGGCCAGAGGCCAGATTTTTGCATCCTCCCGCGATAGCACGCGTTACCAGGGGTGTGTGAGGAGGGGCTCGGTAACGTCTCGGTTTGCACATGAAGCGTGTGGGAACGACGACAAAGGCGACACACACGACGAAAACAACGGGAGTGACGACGATGATGATGATGATGATGATGATGATGATGATGATGATGATGATGATGATGATGATGATGATGATGATGATGGTGATGATGATGGTGGTGATGGTGATGATGGTGGTGATGATGATGATGCTGCTGCTGATGATGATGATGATGATGTGGTGCGGTGGTGGTGGTGATGACGATGATGATGGTGGTGGTGGTGGTGGTGGTGATGATGATGATGATCATGATGATGCTGATGATGGTGATGATGCTGGTGATGCTGATGATGCTGCTGCTGCTGCTGATGATGATGATGCTGATTATGATGATGATGATGATGACCATGATGATGATGACGATGCTGATGATGATGATGATGGTGATGATGATGGTGATGATGATGGTGATGATGATGATGATGCTGATGGTGATGATGATGATGATGATGATGATGACGATGACGATGGCGGTGGTGGTGGTGATGATGATGCTGATGGTGGTGGTGATGATGATGATGATGCTGATGCTGATGCTGATGCTGATGCTGATGCTGCTGCTGATGATGATGATGATGATGATGATGATGATGCTGCTGCTGATGATGATGATGATGATGATGATGATGATGATGATGATGATGATGATGATGATGATGATGATGATGACGATGACGATGGCAATGACGACGACGACGACCTGGATGCATGCGCAGGCCTCCGGAGGCTCCCTGACGTCTTGTCGGAGGCCTTCGAGGTCTTTGCACGGAGATTCCCCCCCCCTGGAGTTTTTTTTTAGGTCCCCGCAGCTCCTATCCCCAGGCGTCGGCGGCGCGAATCGCGACGTCACCGCGAGTCGCTTCAAACGCTCTCGAGGCGCCCCCCGCGGTGTCAAAATTGACTATTGCTTTTGTCGTTCGTCGAGGACTCTGTGGCCAAGCTGGGGGCCATAGAGCAGCTGTGCGAGGAGCTGGGCGTTCGGACGCGCCCGGGCCTGGTGGGGGAGGTCGCGATTGTGCCGCTGCTCTCCTGGTACCACGCAGGCTTTGACGCCGACCCCGACGTGGTGGACGATTCTCTGGCACCAGTGGAGCAGGTGATGATGGATTTCCACCTCTGCAAGTGGCCTGAAGGCTGGCGGCGCACACAGGGGGGCTGTGGCGAGTGGCGAAGGGGCTTGCTTTGAGGCACGCGTGGGGCTTTTTGAAGCGTCATCAGAGGCCTTCGAGCCCTTTCAGGAAGCCTCCCTAGCCTCCTAGAAGGCCGCCCCCCTCGCCCCCCTTTTTGTGTGCGCCGCCAAGAAGGTCTGACGCCGCTGGGCGGCAGCGACAGCATCGCTCGCTTCATGGACGGCCTCAATTCCGACCCCCTCATCGAGGAGCTGGGGCGCGGGGGCGGGCAGCGCCCCACCACAGAGCCTCGGTCGGTGGACCAGCCTGAGGACCCGATGGCCCAGAAGCAACCGAGCAGGCCCTCCATGGGCAGCAGAGACGCTCAAGACAGCCAGCTATCGGGCGACCATGGCCGCTTTGCGGCCCCTCTAGGGCCTGCCTGGGCGCCTCTGGACCCTCGGGCTTGGCCGACCGACCGCGGCAACGGTGTCGTTCTCGCACTTCCTCCCACGCGCGGAGCTGCTGCCGGAGAAGCGGACCCTCTTCTACCCGCACCTCTCGAAGGCGGTCGGCTCGCTGCCGCTGCGCGACCGCGTGCGGGCGCTGCGGCCGGACCTGCACGTGTTCGGCCACACCCACTACGCGTGGGCCGCCGAGGCCTCCGGGAACCTGCAGAGCGGGGGCGGGGCGAGGGGATATGCGGCCCGGGGAGAGGGCACGCCCCACGGCTCCGGGGCCCTCCTGCCTCTGCGACGCCCTTGCACGGAGGGGCCGCTCCGCTCCCCTTGTTGGAGGAGGGCGTTGCCCCCCCGCCCCCCCTGCCCTGCCCCCGACGAGAATATCCGCTTACAACGGGCCCCCTGGGCCCCTCCCTGGAATCCGTCCGGGCCAGTTTCTCACGAGGCCGCTTCCCCTCCCGTGCCCTGCCCCAGTCCAGAGTCCGCGCCCAGACAGGCCCCCGCGGGCCCGGGGCCCACCCCGGCAGGTCCGGCGGGCCGCGTCCAGTCGTGGCTCCGACGGCCTCCATGGGGGCCAATCGAGCTGGTCCCTCGCGCCTTGCCGAGCACGCCCAGAGGTGGAGGGCACGCGCTTCCTCCAGGCCTGCCTGGCCTACCCGCGGGAGAGGGAGGAGCGCCCCTTCTCGGTGAAGTGCGGCGACGGCGGCGGGCAGGAGCTCAGAGGACGGACAACCACGCACCGATGCCGGTGCCTTCCGTCCGTTGCCTTGCCGTTCCCGGGCCCCTCGGGAGGCCATCGCCGCCACGGCGGGGTGCGCCCCAGAGTCTTGGCCAGAGCGTGGCTCACCACCCACCAAACCACCCCAACCCAACCCGAAGGCTCAGATTTTCCTTCGATTTCCAGTAGGGGGGGTGTCGGGAAACATAGAAAAAACACGTGTGGAACCCTTACCCCCCCCAACCCGAAATTCGGGTCTTCGGGTTGGGTTGGGGTGGTCTGGTAGGTAGGTAGTGGCCTGGGAGGGGCCCTGGGGAGCGATTTGACTTCCGGAATCGCGAAGGGCCCTCCTCTCCTCGCAGGTCCTCCTAAAAGGGGTCGGACCCGGCCCTTCTCATCCTAACGGGATGTGGCTGGAATTCGAAAGTAGGTGGCCGAAAACGCGCCCGACATCTTAACCCAAATTGTAGCGTGACCGAAATTGCGACAGAAATTGAAAATCGCCTTGGTCTCGACGGTAGAATTTTGGTCACACGCTGGTGCGTTCAGAAAAGACTACATCGGGTGCCAGTTTCGGTCCTTCTCGGGCAGATTTTCGTGCGCAGTTTCGGTCACAGCTTCTCGGACGGTGGGGGGCTTCCTTTTCTTCCCTCCCGAGGATTTTCACTCGTCTTCCCCCCTCCTCTTCCTCCTCCTCCTCCTCCTTCCCCGCCTTCTCATCAACGACATTCCGTATGATGTTCCTGATGCTTTCCTTTTCAAAAGGTCAACAAGTCCCCCCTCGGTGCAAGTGCAAGTTCAGGTCAACTGCTGCAGAGGTTCTGGGCCAGAGTGGCTGGAGTTGCGCCACGAGGCGTCTCGACGCCCCTCTGCCCGGTATCGGGCCCACACCCCAAGGGCGGAAGGGCCCGAAAGGTGGGGCTCCACGGTGCCGCGGCAATTTGGGCCCAGTGGTCGGAAGTATCATGGTCCTCGCCTTGTCCAACTGGGCAAGTCTCCGTGCAAGCACTGCTTGAGAGCGCAGAGTCAACCCTTGGGCAGTGCATGGTGCAACGCATGCGGTGCATGCTGTATTCATATATGTATAGGTTGTGCAACAAGTGTGCGGACGGCACCACACTACCAGTTCTGTTTCGCAGAGTTTCGCCGCCGCGGCCCCAGCGGCCCGAGCAAGCGAAGCTCGGGCTCGCCGCGGGGCCCGCGGGTCGCCGTCGGGCCTGGCAGGAGGCTTGGGGCCGCTGTGCAGCTTACGGGTGCAGATTACGCCCGCAGGCTGCGCCCGCACACTTCGCTCGCAGGTTCCGCGCGCAGGTTGCGCGCAGAGGTTGCGCGCGTAGGTTGCGCGTTTTCGGCGCCCTTCTTCCCTGCAGCTGTGGTTTCGGGTGCTGGTGCATGAACGCTAATAGGGACGCTCGACGTCGTCGCCGTGTTCGCCAGCAACGGTTGCCCCCTGGGGGATTCTTCTTCGTCCAAGCATTGCCTATCTGTCGCCAACAGCACAGTATGTTTGCGTCGGCGGCGAGGGGCTGGGCCGAGTGATTTGCGCTGGCGCATAGAACAACTGTAGGGCATACAATTCTTGACGCTTCGCGTATCCCCACCAGGTTCAGGAGGGGAAGAAACACACAGACACAATTAATCGTCGATCCCCAGGAAAATATGCGAAACTATGGGAATTGGGGGGAAGACAAAAACCCAGAAAATATTATAAAATATGGGGAATCTTTTTATTTGTGTGTATTTATTTGTGTGTTCTGGGGCCCCTTTACAGGTCCGTAGCCTGGCTCAAGCCGCTCTGGCTCGAGCCCCGAGCAGCAGGGCGCTCTCGCGGCGGCCGCGGCGGCCGCGTCGGAGCACATGCCGTTGGCCCGTCACGAGCGTGCGTCCCATCTGGGCTGCCCGCGCGCACGCCTCCTTCCCACGGTCCCTGTTCGGCGGCGCCGCGGCGGCGACGACGGGCTCGGGCGCAGGCGCGTCTGTTCGCCGCGGTGGCCCGCACGGGATCATGCCGGCTGGGGGGCCCTGTCCTGGCCTGGACCGCGCTCGCAGCTGCGAGCTGGGCCGTCCAGGTGGTGCCCGAACGACATCCTCGCCAGCAGCTCCACGGCGATCCAGGAGATGTTCGGGTGCGGGACGGAACGAATCCCGAACAACACCAAGGCCATCCTCGCCGGCATCTCCACGAGGCCTCCCTGTACGACATCCCGCTGAAGGGCATCAAGATGGCGGCCGTCGACGACGACTCCACGGCGATCCAGGGGATGTTCGAGAGCGTGGCGGAGTGGATCACGAACGACATCAAGGCGTCCGTGTGCGACACCCCGCCGAAGGACCTCGACATGGTGGTGGCCTTCGCCAGCAATGTCGCGAAGATCCAGGAGATGTTCGAGCTCGTGGCGGACCAGATCCCGAACAACATCAAGGCCTCCGAGTACAACATCCCGCTGAAGGACCTCGACATGGTGGTGGCCCTCGCCAGCAACTCCACGACGATCCAGGAGACGTTCGAGCTCGTGGCGGACCAGGTCCCGAACAACACCAAGGCTTTCGTGCACAACTTCCCGCTGCAGGACCCCAAGATGGCGGCCGTCGACGACTCCACGGCTATCCATGTGATGTTCGAGAGCGTGGCAGAGTGGATCCCGAACAACATCCAAGCGTCCTTCGCCGGCGACTCCACGACGATCCAGGAGATGTTCAAGAGCATGGCGAAGCGAATCCCGAACAACATCAAGGCCTCCCTGTGCGACACCCCGCTGAAGGACCTCAAGATGGCAGCCTTGGCCTACGGCTACACGGCGATCCATGAGATGTTCGAGGGCGTGGCGGAGCGGACCCGAACAACATCAAGGCGTCCTTCGCCGGCAACTCCACGACGATTCAGGCGACTTTCAGGCGCGTGGCGGAGTCAATCCCGAACAACATCAAGGCCTCCCTGTACGACATCCCGGTGAAGGACCTCAGGATGGCGGCTTTCGCCGACAACTCCACGGCGATCCAGGAGATGCTCGGGCACATGGTGGAGTGGATCCTGATCAACATCAAGGCTTTCCTGTGCGACATCCCGCTGGAAGGACTCGAGATGGCGGCCTTGGCCAACAACTCCACGGCAATCCAGGTGATGTTCAAGCATGTGGCGGAGGGGATCTCGAGCATCTCCACTGCGATCCAGGAGATGTCCGAGAGCGAGGCAGTGCGAATTCCGAACAACTTCAAGGCCTCCGTGTGCGACATCCCGCTGAGGGGACTCAAGGTGGCGGCCTTCGCCGGCGACTCCACGACAATCCAGGAGATGTTCGAGCGCTAGGCGGAGTGGCCCTCTTGCAACTCCATGGTGGTCCAGGACCTCAAGACGGTGATAGCCTTCGCTGGCAACTCCACGACGATCCTGGAGAGGTCGAAGCTCGTGGCGGAGTGGGTCCCGAGCAACATCAAGGCCTCCGTGTGCGACATCCTGCTGACAGACCTCAAGATGGTAGCTGTGGCCGGCAACCCCGCGGCGACCCAGGAGATGTTCGGGCGCTCGGCGGAGTGGATCCTGAACAACATCAAGGCCTCAGGGTACGACATCCCGCTCAAGGACCTCAAGATGGTGGTAGCCTTCGCGGGCGACTCCTCGATAATCCAGGAGAGGCTGAGGCTCGTGGCGGAGTGGGTCCCGAACAACCTTCCAGGCCCGCTACCGCGATCGACATCCGCCGCAACGGCGTTGGATGGAGCTTTGATCGACTACTGCGACCTCGGCCCCGGGGCACCGCCGACGCCGCGGGAATTTGGGGGCCGTGCCCCGGCGAACGGTCCAACCGCCAGACCCTCGCCTTCTGCCTGGCCACCCCCCAGCGCCAAGGGGTCAGCGCAGTGGGCGTCCACGCCTGCTTCCAGCGACCGGGCGGCGAGGATGTCTACGAGGAGGCCATGGCTGAACTCGAGGGCATGGCGTGCGCTTTCGCGCGATCGGGCCTGGCGCTATCTATTCACACGCGGGAGCGCTTCCACCGGCGCCGCGTCGTCCTGTGCCGCGGCGACTGCGGCGATGTGGAACTCACGCTCGACCTCGGCCTCCACATCTTCGCCCCGCCGCGGCGGCCGGCGGAGTGCGCGGCCCTCGAGCTGCGCAAAACGAAGGCGCAGCAGGTGGTCGTCCGGCACGGTCGCTTCCCCCTCGGCCCCCCTCTCGGGGCGGAGGCGGAGATTGATTGCTGCTTGCCGCCGCGGGCCGCGGCGGACGCGGGCCTGCTCTCCAGCGCCCGGATCCGACAGCTGCTGCGCAGCATCGCGCTGCTTCGGCGGATCGTCGCCCACGGGGGGCGGCTCCGCCCCGCCCAATCGGCCAAGATGGCCCGCGAGGGTCCCTTGCGCGCCGAGCTGGCTCGGAGACGATTCGAGCGCTACGGCCCGGGCCTGCGCGAAGAGGTGAACCCGGCCTGGGAGTGCCCCAACGAGCTGTGCGCGCGCGACGGCTACCTGCTGAACCCCGGCGCCTGCTTGCGCTGCCGCCGCTGCCGCCTGCAGCGGCCGGCGCTGCTGCTCCGCTCGCTGATCCCGATCCGGCACCGGCATCTGCAGCGCAGTTGGCGGCAGGCTTCGCTTGTGATCCAGCGTGTTTGGCGCCGGCGACTGGCCGAGCGCCGCGGGCGCCTGCGCCCGCGCCACGAGCAGCGGCAACATCGGCATCACCAGCAGCAGCGACAACGGCGGCGGCAGCAACAGCAGCAGCAGCGGCCACAGCAGCCCCGGCGAGGTCGCGACGGAGCCGCTGAGCGTCATCATCGGGGGGCCGGTGCTGAGCAACCTCGCCGAGAAGATGACTTTGCCGATCCTGGCCCCAGAGATTGCGGTGACCTTCAAGGCGCCCGCGTGCGACATCCCGCTGAAGGACCACAGGATGGCGGCCTTCGCCGACGACCCCGTGGCGATCCGGAAGATGTTCGAGAGCGTGGCGGGCTAGATCCCGAGCAACTTCAAGGCCTCCCTGTGCGACATCCCGCCGAAGGATCTCAAGATGGTGGTGGTGTTCGCCAGCAGCCCCGCGACGATCCAGGAGACGTTCAAGCGCGTGGCCAAGCGAATCCCAACGACACCATGGCGTCCGTCAGCGACATCCCGCGTGAAAGAACCTCGAGATTGCGGCCTTCGCCGACTAATTCCGCGGCGATCCAGGAGATATTCGAAAGCGTGACGGAGTGGATCACGAACGACATCAAGGCGCCCGTGTGCGATATCCCGCTGAAGGACCTCGACATGGTGGTGGCCTTCGCCAGCAACTCCACGACGATCCAGGAGATGTTCGAGCTCGTGGCGGACCAGATCCCGAACACCACCAAGGCCTCCGAGTACGACATCCCGCCGAAGGATCTCAAGATGGCGTTCGTCTTCCCCAGCAACTCCACGAAGATCCAGGAGGGGTCGAAGCTCGCGGCGGAGTGGACCCCGAACAACATCAAGGCGTCCGTGAGCGACATCCCGCTGAAGGACCTCAAGATGGTGGTGGCCTCCGCCAGCAACTCCACGGGGATCCAGGAGATGTTCGAGGGCATGGCGGAGTGGGTCCCGAACAGCTTCAAGGCGTCGTTCGCCGGCAACCCCGCGGCGATCCAGGAGATGCGCAGGCTCGTGGCGGAGTGGGTCCCGAACGACATCTAGGCCTCCCTGTGCAACATTCCGCCGAAGGACCTCAAGATGGCGGCCGTCGACGACGACTCCACGGCGATCCAGGAGATGTTCGAGAGCGTGGCGGAGTGGATCACGAACAACATCAAGGCGTCCGTGCGCGACATCCCGCTGAAGGACCTCGAAAAGGTGGTGGCCTTCGCCAGCAACGCCATGACGACCCAGTAGATGTTCGAGCTCGTGGCGGACCAGACCCCGAAGAACATCAAGGCCTCCGAGTACGACATTCCGCTGAAGGACCTCAAGATGGCGGTGGCCTTCGCCAGCAACTCCACGGGGATCCAGGAGATGTTCGAGGGCATGACGGAGTGGGCCCCGAGCAGCTTCAAGGCGTCCGTCGCCGGCAACTCCACGGCGATCCAGGAGATGTTCAGGCTCGTGGCGGAGTGGATCCCGAACAACATCAAGGCCTCCGAGTACAACATCCCGCTGAAGGGCCTCAAGATGGCGGCCGTCGACGACGACGCCACGGCGACCCAGGAGAAGTTCGAGAGCGTGGCAGAGTGGATCACGAACAACATCAAGGCGTCCGGGTGCGACATCCCGCTGAAGGACCTCGACGTGGTGGTGTCCGTCGCCGGCAACTCCACGGCGATCCTGGAGATGTTCGAGCTCGCGATGGAGTGAATCCCCAACGACATCAAGGCCTCCCAGTTCGACATCCCACTGAAGGATCTCATGATGGTGGTGGTCCTCGCCAGCAACTCCACGACGATCCAGGAGTGGTTGAAGCTCGTGGCGGATCGGATCCCGGACAACATCAAGACGACCGTGAGCGACATCCCGCTGAAGCACCTCAAGATGGCGGCGGCGTTCGCCAGCAACTCCACGACGATCCAGGAGATGTTCGAGAGCATGGCGGAGTGGATCCCGAACAGCTTCAAGGCGTCTTTCGCCGGCAACTCCACGGCGAAACGCTCGAAACGCACCGTGCCGGGCCGTGCCTGACGAAATTATCTGGCGGGCCCTGTGTTGGAGATGTTCAGGCTCGTGGCGGAGTGGACCCCGGACAGCATCAAGGCCTCCCTGTGCAACATGCCGCTGAGGGGCCTCAAGATGGCGTCCGTCGACGACGACTCCACGGCGATCCAGGAGATGTTCGAGAGCGTGGTGGAGTGGATCACGAACGACATGAATTCGTCCGTGTGCGACATCCCGCTGAAGGACCTCGACATGGTGGCGGCCTTCGCTAGCAACTCCACGACGATCCAGGAGATGTTCGAGCTCGTGGCGGACCAGACCCCGAACTGCATCAAGGCCTCCGAGTACAACATCCCGCTGAAGGGCCTCAAGATGGTGTTCGTCTTCGCCAGCAACTCCACGACGATCCAGGAGGGGTTGAAGCTCGTGGCGGAGTGGACCCCGGACAACATCAAGGCGTCCGTGAGCGACATCCCACTGAAGGGCCTCAAGATGGCGGTGGCCTTCGCCATCCGGGAGATGTTCGAGGGCATGGCGGAGTGGACCCCGAAGGGCATCAAGGCGCCGGTCGCCGGCAACCCCACGGCGATCCAGGAGATGTTCGAGCTCGTGGCGGAGTGGATCCCGAACAACATCAAGGCCTCCCTGTACAAAATCCCGCTGAAGGACCTCAGAATGGCGGCCGTGGGCGACGACTCCACGGCGACCCAGGAGAAGTTCGAGATTGTGGCAGTGTGGACCACGAACAACATCAAGGCGTCCGGGTGCGACATCCCGCTGAAGGACCTCGACGTGGTGGTGTCCGTCGCCGGCAACTCCACGGCGATCCAGGAGATGTTCGAGCTCGTGGCGGAGTGAATCCCCAACGACATCAAGGCCTCCCAGTTCGACATCCCACTGAAGGATCTCATGATGGTGGTGGTCCTCGCCAGCAACCCCACGACGATCCAGGAGTGGTTGAAGCTCGTGGCGGAGCGGATCCCGCGACATCAAGGCGACCGTGAGCGACATCCCGCTGAAGCACCTCAAGATGGCGGCGGCCTTCGCCAGCAACTCCACCGATCCAGGAGATGTTCGAGAGCGTGGCGGATTGGAGCCCGAAAAGCATCAAGGCGTCCTTCGCCGGCAACTCCACGGCGAAACGCTCGAAACGCACCGTGCCGGGCCGTGCCTGGCGAGATTATCTGGCGGGCGCTGCGTTGGAGATGTCCAGGCTCGTGGCGGAGTGGGCCCCGAACGACATCAAGGCCTCCCTGTGCAACATCCCGCTGAAATGGCCTCAAGATGGCGTCCGTCGACGACGACTCCACGGCGATCCAGGAGATGTTCGAGAGCGTGGTGGAGTGGATCACGAACGACATCAAGGCGTCCGTGTGCGACATCCCGCTGAAGGACCTCGACATGGTGGTGGCCTTCGCCAGCAACTCCACGACGATCGAGGAGATGTTCGGGCTCGTGGCGGACCAGAGCCCGAACAACATCAAGGCCTCCGAGTACAACGTCCCGCTGAAGGACCCCGACATGGCGGTGGCCCTCGCCAGCAACTCCACGACGATCCAGGAGATGTTCGAGCTCGTGGCGGACCAGGCCCCGAACAACGTCAAGGCCTCCGAGTACAACGTCCCGCTGAAGGACCCCGACATGGTGGTGGTCTTCGCCAGTAACTCCACGACGATCCAGGAGACTTTCAGGCGCGTGGCGACTTGAATCCCGAACAACAGCAATGCCTCCCTGTACGGCATCCCGGTGAGGGACCTCAGGATGGCGGCCTCCGCCGACAATTCCACGGCGATCCAGGAGATGCTCCAGCACATGGTGGAGTGGATCCTGATCAACATCAAGGCCCTCCTGTGCGACATCCCGCTGGAGGGGCTCGAGATGGCGGCCTTGGCCAAGAACTCCGCGGAAATCCAGGTGATGTTCAAGCATGTGGCGGAGTGGATCTCGAGCAACTCCACTGCGATCCAGGAGGTGTCCGAGAGCATGGCGGAGTGGATCCCGAACAGCATCAAGGCCTCCGTGTGCAACATCCCGCTGAGGGGACTCGTCCCGTTCCCGCGTCTGCGCTTCTTAGTGAACAGATTTGTTTTAGATGTTCGCTTGAGCACGACCACCTAGGCACTCATATCCGCTGGGTGCGTCCGGATGCCAGGCAGGATATCAGAGTAGTTTTACACGACTGCAGCCTCTGCGGGGGCCACGCGACTGGCATGCATGCACGAAGTCTTGCCATCCCGGTGCCTGATTCGGAGGGCGAGTCTGAGGGCTCAGACCTCTGAGCCCGCCCCTTTTTCCTTCTCTCCCTTGCGCAGTCTCACCCCCCCGTTCATGCCCCTCTGCTGGGCAGGCCGCGGCCCGACGCCGCGAAGACGGCATTGCCGGTGCAGGCGCTGCCGGCCCCCGCTTTGGCGCTGCTGGGGGGCGTGCGCGGAAAAAAAACCTCCCTATACAAAGTGGTCTCCGTCGCGCTGACCCTGTGGGCCATATGGGGCCCCTCTGCGCCAAGCGGGGCCCAATGGGTCGGCGGCCCCATGGTCCTCAACCGTCCCTTTGCTGCGCACAGACACGCAATTGGTGAGGAATACAGACAGCACGGACGGCTGCCCCCCACAGGCCATCGTTTCCGCGGGCGGTCCCTTCACGACGGGGACTGGTTTCACCGCAGTGACAGGCCGAGGCCTTAATATTCTTGTGCCACCTCTTGGGGCTGAGGTGCACCTATGCCATCACACTGCGTTTAGACTACCCACGCTTGTTCGTGGGCTTCATAGTCCGTGAGGATTCGGCTGAAATAATCCACTCTCACGGTTCCCTTTGGCCTTGTTCTCACTGGGCAATGGTCTGTCTTTGTCCGCTTGGGCGCCCGCTTTGGATGACTGGGACTGCAGGCCAAAGGCCCGCCCCATGTGCTCCACCTGTCGTGCAGCACTCCTTCCGCACTTCCTACCTACGGTGGCCCCGGTCAGGCGGCGCCCCCCCCCCCCCCCCCCCCCCCCCCCCCACGCACACGCGCGCGCACGCGCACCAACACACGCACACACACACCACACACACACACACACACACACAACACACACACAACAACACACACACACACACAACACACACAACACACACACACACACACACACACACACACACACACCACACACCACACACACACACACACCACCACACACACACACACCACCCACACACACACCACACACACACACACACACACACACACACACACACACACACACACACCACACACACACACACACACACACACACACACACACACACAACACACACACACACACACACACACACACACACACACACACACACACACACACACACACACACACACACACACACACACACCCCACACACACACACACACACACACCACACACACACAACCACACACACACACCACACACACACACACACACACACACACACACAACACACACACACACACACACACACACACACACACACACACACACACACACACACACACACACACACACACACACACACACACACACACACACACACACACACACACACACACACACACACACACACACACACACACACACACACACACACACACACACACACACACTGACGGGCACCTTTCCCCCCTCAAGTTTACAACTCTTGCAGCGCGCGCTGCTGGGTTCTCTGCGGTCGCCGCCGCCGCCTGGCCCACTGGCTTTGCCCCTCTCCCTGCGGCTATCGGCTTCGCTTCCCCCCCCTCCTCCACGCGCGCTGACGTGGTGTGCCGCGCCACTCGGCTTCCCCCCTTCGTGGCAACGTTCGCGTGCATGCTCCGAGGTGGCCACGCCTATCCCAGCGGCGGGGCGCGATCGCCCGCTGGCTCCGGCGGGTGGGCCTGGGGAGGCAGGATTCCTGTACAAGTGGCCCATCCTTTGACAGGGCTGAGCCTTCACTTGGCAGGCCCGCCCCTCCGGCCCCCGGCTTCGCTCGTGACGTCGCCCCCTTCTTATGGACTGACTTGTTGTTCGCGTGCGCCAACGACGCCAGCGACCGTTTCCACGGTGCACGGCGCACGTGGCCCACGACAGCCCGGCGGTTCTCCCGCGGGCAGGTCCGCAGGCCTCCCGCTGGGTGGTGCAGCTGCGGTACCACGCAGCGCTTCCCCCCATCCACAGTGGCAAGGAAGTTGCAGGCTGGGGCTCTCGCGACTAGGCTGCCGACGCCTGTCATGGTTCGACGCACCTGTCTTCGAGCACTTTAGGTGCTCTGTGAGTGAGGCTTCCTTCCTTCCCCCTCCCCTCGTCGCCTCCTGCGCCTGTCTCCCCATATGCTCCTCCTCGCCGCGTTTGGCGGTGCCTTTCCTCGGGCTCTGTGCTGCCCGCGCAGCGTTCCCGCTTTCTCGCAGGCTTGGTCGGCGGGGGCTGGCGCCGCAGTGCGACCCTCCGCCGGCTTTCCAGTCCGCTGCCGTCTTCCGTTCCCGGTTCGGCTCTAATGAGATTCATTTTGCCCCTCGCGCGTGCATTGCGGCGTTGGCCTATGTGCCTTCGTTGCCAATCGTCTCGCATTGCGCCCTGTCGAGATTGACCAGCTCCCTGGAGCAGTCCTTGGAGCTGCAGATCAAACAAAATATCCCCACCAGCCCATCCAGAAACGATGTCCAGGCAAGTTGGAGAGATCAGGGAAGTGGGGGAGCAACGAGAGGGACAGCCGATCCGTGCAAAGGATGAGGCGGAAGAGGAGGCCAGATGGATAGATGAGGGGGTGGCGAGGAACCGAGCGAAGGAGGGATGAGGAGAATGATGACGCTGGGTGGATGGTTGAATGCAGTTCGGATGCCTCTTGGAAGCCTTTGGGAAGCCTTTTCGGGCGTCTTGGGGGTCTCTTGGCGGTCAATGGGGGCCCTTGGGCGTCTTGGGTGCTTCCGGTGGGCCTCTTGAGGCCGCTTGGGGTCCTCTTGGGGGGCTCTTGGGGGCCTGTTGGAGGCCTCTTGGGGCCTCTTGGGGGTCTCTTGGAGCTTCATGGCGGCCTCTTGGAGCCTCTTGGAGGCCTCTTGGAACCATCCTGGGAACCTCTTGGAGCTTCTTGGGGGCTTCTTGGGGCCTCATGGCGGCCTCTTGGGGCCTCTTGGAGGCCTCTTGGAAGCTTCTTGGGGCCTCCTGGGCGCCTCTTGGGGCCATTTTGGAACCGATCGATCAAAGAAGGGGGGTTCCCTAATTCACCCTGCCCCTCGGGAACTCCCAAAATAGCCGCCTGGACCCCTGTTGGGGCGCTCTTGGAACGCTCTTGGGCGCTCTTGGGGCCGTCTTGGGGCTCTCTTGGGCCTCTCTTGGGGCCTCCTTGTCCCATCTTGGAGCCATCTTGAGGCCACGGAAGGCCATCGGAAACGATAAGGCGAGAAGCCGCACATCGCTGGTTTTCCTTAGGTTTTTGAAGGAGTTTGGCTTCTTGGGGGGCCTCTTTGGGAAGCTCTTTGGCTTGTTGGAACGGTCATGCGGCGATCTTGGGGCCTCTTGGAGCATCTTCGGAGCCATCTTGCGGCATCTTAGGCTATCTTGAGCCATCTTGGAAGTCATCTTGGACTATCCGAGGCGCTCGTGGAGCCATCCTGGGCCATCTTGGACATTCTGACCGCTCGCGACCGGGCCCGTCCAGGTCCAGGGGAGGGGGTTAGGGGGAGGGGTAAACCCCTCCCCGAAGGGGGAAGAGGGAAGATGAAAGAAGAAACGCCCTAAACCACCTACGCCCTGAAGGGCTGGTGGGATTGCTAATTAAGTCGCGATGCGCGCGAGGAGGGGTAAGGCCCAGCGCGGGCGGGAGGGAAACGGAAGCCGGGCTCGCTCAGAGCGGGGCCAGGCCGCGGCAGGGGCGGCGCCGGCGCAGCGGGGCGGCAGTTGCGGGGCAGCCGGGGGCGGGCAGCAGCCAGGGGCGGCCGGGCGGGGCGGGGAGATCAGGCCCAGCCAGTGCTGGGGACGGGCAGCACAGCAAGGTGGCCGTGCACCGATATCGAGCCGACCTTTTCAGGCGGCAGAGCAGCCGGAGAAGACCACCTCATGGGAGGGGCCAGTGGGTAGCTGGGAAGGGCCCAGCAGCCGAAGCGAGAAGAAGCGCCAAAACCAACAACACAGTACAGTCAACCCGCATAGTAAAGATGGGCAACCTTCCCAAGGTTACCCTTGCATCCTTGCCGTTCTGGCCCATCCCTGGCGGCTTTCTTTGTCCATCCTCGTTCGAAAAACGCGAACATGGCCCCCCAAGGCCGTGGCATCCTTATCCCGCATCCTAATGATACGGATTGACAGTGTACTACAAGCGTTACTTGACTAGCACGTGGCAAAGCACTTACGACAAACAAGTGTTTCCCCACAGGAACTGCTGCCCCCATTGCTCGTCTACGACCACGCGACTGGGGAGTTCCCCGGCTACAGGGGCTTCTGGTCCGAGTACTACAAGGTTTGCCTTGAGCCAAAGGGTCTTTGATGAGGGGCCGACTTGCCACTTACCGTAGGTAGGGAGGGAGGGAGGGGGGGAGGAAGGGGGGGAAGGGAAGGAGGAGAAGGATGAGGAGGAAGATCTCCCCATCCTCCCTTCTCCCCCGCCTTACCTGTGGTAGTGGTGGTGAACATTGGCCCATCATGTGAGGGACGAACAAACAAACGTCACACAACTGAGCCGCACTTCAGGACGTCTGCGCGGGCTCTGGCGGCAAAGGGCCCCCTCTCCACACTTGTTGTGGCGATTCAGCGCCAGCCCATGCCCGATCCGCGCGCCGGGGAAGGAGTGTGCGAAGGCTTGGCGTCGCTCGGGCGCGTGCATTTTTTTCGGCGGGGATCACCGAGGAGCATTTTTTATCATCGAGCAAGATACAGCGTACGAAATCGAAACGTGCACGTGGAATGTACGTCCGAGCGATGGCAAGCAGGGTCCAGCGCCGACCCAAGGGATCTGCGCGGACGTCTGGAAGACTGCTTCCGTAGTTTTGCCGTCGTCCGGCGGAGGGGTCCTGGGCCCCAGGGCCTTCTCTCCGGAAGGACCCAGTGAGGAACGCAAGGCGCAGGGAAACCCCAGCCTTGGGCATCGGAAGCCGCAGTTTGTTCGGAGCGCTGGATCCCGACCTGGTGACGCCTCCTCACGATCCCCCTCCTCGCAGAAGGGCCGGTCGAAACATCGGAGGCCACCGCACACTTCCGGAGGCACCCAGACGCTCAGAAGGTGCCGAGGGCGTCCAGAAACCTCGGCCTTCGTTCGTCGAGGAAGCCCAAGCTACCGCCGATACCTCGAGTGGCAACCTTCCCGCCGTTGGTCTACAGCAGATTTCGAAGAATAGTCATAATGATGATAAAACATCATAATAATAGTAATAAGAAAACTAATAATGCAATTCATAATAATACGGAGGAGAACGCTAATAAACACAATAGCATTGTTACTACTACTACTACTACTACTACTACTACTACTACTACTACTACTACTACTATCAGTATTAATACTATTAATAAAAATAATAAGCAGACTAAGACGAAGCAGGACCGTAATAGTAATAATAGTTATACTAACATATTCATAAGACGATTTCATACTAATATTAAGAACAATACCAATACTACTACCGATATTAGTGATACTTCTCATCATATTGATTATACTGGTACGGATGATAATAATAGTAAGAATAATAAGAATACTTGGAACAATAACCATAATGCAAACAGTAATAATAATCATAATAATAAGAACCAGAAACATAAAAAGGTATCGGGTTTCGGAGGTCCGCGAGTTTCGGACGTCCGCGCGGATTCCTTGGATCGGCCCCGGGCCCCCCCTCCCTGGCGCGCGGAGCGTGCAAGGGGCGTCGCAAGAGGCGCCGCCAGGGGGGCCTGCCTCCGATCCTAGGACTCCGCGCGCAGCTCCGAAAGCTGCTGCTCGTGCCGTGTTTTCCTGGGCCTCCCAGACGGGGTCGGACCAGCTGGGGTCGGCGTATCGCGCCGCATCGCCGATGCATCGCCGTTGCATCGGCGACGTTTGCGATGCATCGGCGACGTCGGCGTGGAGCAAGTCGGGCCCCACATCGAGCCGCATCGCCGATGCCTCGGCGATGCGGCGCGATCCTCCGACCCGATCCACTCGGACCCACTCGGAGGCCTCCGGTTTTCTTCCTCGAAGCCAGGCGCACCCCCGTCGGCCCGAGGATGTTGCTTGGATCTACCGCGGAGACCGGAGGCGCGCGGAGGTGCTGCTCGCGCTGCGGCGGGTGGTGGAGGCGGGGGCGGGCGTCGTGGACGACGCCTCCATCCTCTCGGAGATGGCGCTCGTCCCGAGCTGCGCTGGCGAGGGGGAAAAGACCTCGCCTGCCCTCCCAGATCCCCTGCCTTCGAGTAGGGGAACGACTACAACATTCATTCACCCCCAAGTTGGTTTTTCAGTCGAATCTACGATAGATACGAAGATTGTTTCGTAGATCTACGATCTAGATTGTTTCGACGGGGGAGGTAAGAAGGAGGGAAGGAGGAGGAGGAGGAGGAGAGGAAGGAGAGGAAGGAGAGGAAGAGGAGGATTGGGAGGTGGACGCGAGGAGGGAGGTTAAAGTACAGCGGGGGAGAATGGGGAAGGGAGTGGGGAAGAGCAGCGGAGGCGGAGGAGGACGGGGAGGAGGAGGAGGACCAGTGTAAACCCAAGAGTTACCAACGATGTTGGAAGTAACCCTCCCTCCAAGCTCCCTCTTCATAGGCCCCTACAACAGTTCATTTCCATTGAGGGAACTGCCTCGTTGGAAGACAACCGTGTGAAGACTTCGAAAGCATGCCAAAACATTGCTCTCGGGATTTCCACGCCACGGATCAACCTGACTGATGCGTCGTGACGATCTGGAATCGTGCCAATACGCTATTTTGGGGACATCAACACCGCGAACATACATAACTGTTGCACCCGCATAATCCTCCATCCTTCGAAACCACAATTTTCTAAGTCGAGGGCCACATTTTGAAAACCACCCGCCCTCAGTCCGTGAAGTTCTTGCAAACAGCACGAACATGTGCGGCGCTAAGGCGAGAACCACATGACCCGCCCTCAAGCAAAAACACAAATGTGCGCGGTGCTAAGGCGAGAGCCGCATTTTGAAAACCACCCGCCCTCAATCCGTGAAGCTCTTGCAAACGTTGAAAACGAGTGTGCGCATCGCTAAGGCGAGAGCCACATTTTGAAAATGACCCGCCCTCAATCCGTGAAGCTCCTGCAACTGTTTTAAACGAGTGTGCGCGGTGCTAAGGCGAGAGCCACATTTTGAAAACCACCTGCCCTCAGTCCGTGAAGTTCTTGCAAGGAAAACGAGTATGCGCGGCGCTAAAGCGAGAGCCACATTTTGAAAACGACCCGCCCTCAATCCGTGAAGTTCTTACAATTTGTTAGAACGAATGTTTGCGGCGCCATGGCGAGAGCCACATTTTGAAAACGACCCGCCCTCCATTTGTGAAACTGTTGTCATTTTCCAGCTTCCGAGTCAGACATGTTGAGGAAGTCTCGGGCGAAACGCCCGTCCCGCCCTAAAGTCTGGCCTCGGGGTGCGACACGGAGAAGTTATTGAATCGCTTCGCTCATTCCGCCGGCCCATATTGCGCGCCGTTGTCGACTGACCGAGTGGTCTTTCGCGGTGCGGAGCTGCAGGGGCGGCGGCTGTTTTTATCAGGCTTAGAGGGTTTCCTGGAGGCCTCTTGTTGCCGAGAGCTCGAAACATCCGTTCGCGTTTCCTGTCTGGGCTTTCTCTTG